GGACCTCCAAGCATTCCTTGGACTCATTAATTTCTATAATATTTTCCTACCCCAGAAAGCCACTGTCGCGGAGTCCTTGGCATAGACTCCTGGATAAAAAGGTACCATGGATTTGGGGACGGTGAGAGGAACACGCATTTCAACAGATAAAAGATCTTCTGACTTCCGACGCAGTCCTCATGCAATACGAGACCCTACCACTGACTATTACTTGTGACGCTTCACCTTTTGGCGTGGGAGCAATCCTAAGCCACACATTGCCTAATGGAACAGAGGCTCCCGTTGCATTTTTCTCAAGAACCCTGTCCAAGCCAGAGTGGAACTACAGTCAGCTGGATAAAGAAGCCCTCGCCATCGCAGTCAAAAGATTCCATGAATACATTTATGATAGGACATTTTCAATTATTACCAACCATAAGCCCCTACTTGGCATTCTGGCTGGTAACAAACCCACTCCACACATCCTTTCACCTAGAATGACAAGATGGTCTGAATTTCTTGCCGCTTATAATTATCAATTAATACATCGACCTGGCAAATCCATCTCTCATGCCGATGCTTTAAGCTGATCACCCCTGCCAGATGTGCAAGATGACCCAGCACCCACATTATCAATTTTGCAAATTGAAACTGCATCCATGTCACCATTGACCACGCCGGACATTGCCCATGAAACACGATGGGATAAATGATTAGCGCGAGTTCTCAGCTGGATGGAGAGGGGTTGGCCAGAAAGCAGGACAAACAAACCCTTTAAACCAGTGGTCCCCAACCTTTTTTGTACCAGGGACCAGTTTCACGCAGAAACACTTTTTCAAGGACCGGGGGGGGGGGGGGCACTTTTTCAAGGGGGGGGGGGGGGGAGGAGTCCGAGTTTGGTGGTTTGCTTGCAGACGTTTCATTACCTGACTAGATAACATCTGATGTTGTTACCTAGTCAGGTAATAAAACGTCTGCCAGCAAACCACCAAGTTCAGGGAGGTTCAGGACAAGTCCCTGCAGGATGGCTGAGAAGCCCCACCTCTCAGCCCTGCCTCCCTCAGCCTCATCCCTCAGGTGTCTCCCTCCCTCAGTCTTATCCCTCAGGTGTCTGCCTCATTCCTCTCTCAGTCGCTCTCTCGCTCCTCCACCAGCCCAGGAAGAAACTGTCTTCGTTTCTGGTTGTTTCGGAGCAGCTTCGGCTGAGTAAAAGAGGCGAATAGTTATTATTCTCAGCCAAAGCTACTCCGAAACAACCAGAAACAAAGGCAGGCAGGCAGGCAGGCAGGCAGAATGGAGCACTGGATTGAACCGCAGGTGGTGGGGTGGGGGTGAACGGGCGCTTCGGAGGAGCTGCGCCGACAGGAAAAGCCACCCTGCCGACTTCTTTGAAGCAGTTTCTTCCTGGGCTGGTGGAGGAACGAGAGAGCGACTGAGAGAGGAACGAGGCAGGAGGAAACCAAAGCCGCTGAGCCAGAGAGCAAGACAGGCTTTGGTTGCTTCCTCCCTCCCCTTCTTTCATTTGTGTCCTTGATCCCTGATCCCAGCAGCATTCACCGAAGGCGAAGAAAGCCGCCATTTTTATTTTATTTTTATTTTCTTTGCGGCCCGGTACCAAATGATCCACAGACCGGTACCGGTCCGCGGCCCGGTGGTTGGGGACCCCTGCTTTAAACCATTTAAAAACTGGCAAACTGAACTCTTTTCTCAGAGAGGATGTATCCTGTGGGGAGACTGGGTAATCATACCAGAAACACTCCAAAATACAGTTTTAAACATGCTGCATGATGGGCACCCAGGCATCATATGTATGAAAGCCCTGGCCAGGAGCTATGCTTGGTGGCCAGGCATGGACAAGCAAATTGAAACCTGGGTCGCCGCCTGTAACAGATGCCAAGAGACTCGCTCAGCTCCCCCAAAAGCCCCACCGTTAGAATGGGAAACCCCCAGAGGCCCATGGTCATGCATCCATATTGATTTCGCTGGACCAACAAAAGGGCATACCTTTTTAATTACCGTTGATGCTTACTCAAATTGGCTCGAAGTAAGCAAAATGAAAACCACCACCACAGAAGCCGTCATAAAAAAACTAAACAAACTTTTTGCCACACACGGTCTGCCTGATGTGATAGTCTCAGACAACGGACCCCAGTTTACTGCATTGGCATTCGAGCAATACTTGGCAGACCGTGGCATCCGACACGCATTGACATTGCCCATTCACCCGGCGGCGAAAAAAAAACTATTCAAAGAATTGAACATGGCGACATCCACGAAAAAATCACTAAAATGCTTCTGATCCAACACATCACGCCCAACACCAAGACCAACAAGAGCCCAGCAGAACTACTCATGGGCAGAAGACTCCGGTCACCCCTAGATCATCTGCACCCTGCTTACACCCCAGCGAAACCCCCGGGATCCTCTAGCAAAAACCGTGCCTTCAAGGAAGGAGACACTGTTTTTGCAAAAAACTTTACTGGAGACCCACTATGGCTTCCTGCGAAAATCACCCAGATCACTGGCCCTCGTTCCTACCAGCTCGAAACCACTGATGGCAGGTGTTGGAAACACCATATTGACCAGCTAAGGTTCAGGCTGGCCATTTCTCCCCTCACAGACTCCAACCAAGAAATCAGAGGGGAGGGGGAGAAACTGCAAACTCTGAACAAGAACCAGATTCTGAACAAACAGAACAACCCCCATTAAACAGAAACCAAACATTTAACCAACTAGACTTACCAGTTGACAGGGAGCCGTGGCAGACGGGTTCTTCACCTGGAAGCAGCAGCCGGACAAGCTCTACCAGCCCAGAAAATCCAGGTGGGAGCAACAGAGCAAACGACTCAACCA